AAAAGCAGTAAGTTGACAGTATTGCAAGTTTTTTTTTTTTTTTTTGCATCCTGAGATAGACATATTTGTGTGTGAATATATATATACAACCATACACATATAAATAATGCCTAGGTAATGTTTAGGTATGGGTTATCAGACAGCTGTCTTAAGAATGATTTCTGATCTCAGCAACACTATTGCTCACTCCACAGTAGTTAAACTCATCATCTGGCTATCTTTCTAGCTGGGCGTTCCAAGACTGAGTGTGGAGTGTTTAAAACCAGATTATCCTATTCACTCCGATATTCTTTTAAGATGCTGTAGTGCCAGCATGTGTGAACTTTTTTTTTTTGTAAAGGACCAGATAGTAAACATTTTAGGCTTTGTGGGCTATATGGTCTCTGTACAACAGCTACTCCTCAGCTCTGCTGCTGTGATGTGAAAGCATAGAGGACCTATAGACAGATGGGTGTGGCTCTGTCCCAGTAAAACTGTTTATAAAAACATGGTGGAGCTTGCCAACCCCTGCTTTAGTGGAGAAGAAATATGTGAACTTGGAGGGAAGTCCTGACTCTGGCCCTTGGCTCTTTCATCTATAGAATGAAAGTGTCAGAATAAGTGATTTATTAGATCCCTTCCGATTCTATATTTTTGTTTTTTAAGATTTTTTATTGATTTTCAGAGAGCGGAAAAGAGAGAGAGAAACATTGATGTGAAAGCGAAGCATCAGTCAGCTCTGCCTCCTACATGCCCCCTACTGGGGATCAAGCCTGCAGTCTTGGCATGTACCCTGATCAGGAATTGAACCAGCAATCTTTTTTATTTCTTTTTTTTTTTAAATATATTTTATTGATTTTTTACAGAGAGGAAGGGAGAGAGATAGAGAGTCAGAAACATCGATGAGAGAGAAACATCGATCAGCCGCCTCCTGCACATCCCCCACCGGGGATGTGCCCGCAACCCAGGTACATGCCCTTGACCGGAATCGAACCTGGGACCTTTCAGTCCGCAGCTGACGCTCTATCCACTGAGCCAAACCGGTTTCGGCTTTATTTCTTTTTTAAAAAATATTTTTATTTATTGATTTCAGAGAGGAAGGGAGTGGGTGAAAGAGATAGAAACATCAATGATGAGAATCATTGATTGGCTGCCTCCTGCACACCCCCAACTGGGGATCAAGCCGACAACCTGGGCAGATGCCCTGACCAGGAATTGAACCGTGACCTCCTGGTTCACAGGTTGATGCTCAACCACTGAGCCACGCAGGCTGGGTGAACCAGCAATCTTTTGGTGCACGGGATGGTACCCAGCCAACTGAGCCATACGGGCCAGGCCTCTGTATTTTTTTTTTTTTAGGTTAAGGTGGGACCCACCCCACAGTAAATATGTGTCTCTCTCTTATCTCTCATCCTGAATGGTTTACTTTGAAATTAGAGAATGTGGTGCACTTGTATTGTTACTATAAGGTCATTTTGCTGTTTTTTCAGTGGAGAAGAGTTTTTCCCAACATCCAACAGTCTTCTTCATGGAACACATGTGCCTTCCGCACAGGAAATTGATAGGATGGTCACAGATCTGGAAAAACAGTAAGTACTCAGTAGAGCAGCATGAAATTTTAAGTGCTTAATGGCAAAATGGACATAATAAGCATAGAATGAATTGAATAGACAGATATTATACTTGGTAATTTCTCACTTAGCATCTCCAGTGGTTTTGGAGACAGCAAGTATGAGTTGAGTCCATATGATTTGGAATGGAGAAGCAACCAAAATATTGATAAAATTGAATTGTTATCATTGAAGCAGGGAAAGATCTAAAGAAAATTCTTCTTTAAGAACTTTTATTTAATAATCACTCTGCTATTTGATTTGAAGAAGCAAGAATGTTCTAGTAAATGTACCTCCACTACATTTGCGTTTCTTATACTGATAGGGGTGAATATTAGGCAGAGTGGAATGAATCTGTATTTTAGAAGTTAATACATGTGAAGTATTAAGGATAGTGTCTCACTGCACTCCATATTAGCTGTGGTTATTATTAATATAATTATTGTAGTCATTTCTTTTAATATTTTATGTATCCAATCCAGTTTCTAACAAGGTTATCATTGCTTTCTTAGAGGCATTCTGAAGGTGAATTTGTATATTACCGGATTTCATGGTTCTTACCCAGGGTTGTACTATTAATTAGCAGCTTCAACTTAATCTTGATGAAAACTGCTTCCCCCACCCACCAAAGTGTGCTATTCTAGGTGTAATGATGCTTTTCTCAACTACTCAGCCATTTCTATTAAGACAAAAAAAGAAGACAAGCCCTGGCCAGCCAGCTCAGTTGGTTAGAGTGCCGTTCTGATATGCCAAGGTTGCGGGTTTGATTTCCGGTCAGGGCACAAGCAAGAATCAATGAATGAATGCATAAATAAGTGGAACAACAAATCGATGTTTCTCTCTCTCTCTCTCTCTCTCTCTCTCTCAAGTTAATAAATTAAAAAAATTTTAAAAAGACATTTAAAATTTTAAAAATTACTTTCTCTTTCCCTCAGAATTGAAAAACGAGACAAATATAGCCGGAGAAGACCTTATAATGACGATGCAGATATTGACTATATTAATGAAAGGAATGCCAAATTCAACAAAAAGGCAGAAAGATTCTATGGGAAATATACAGCTGAAATTAAACAGAATTTGGAGAGAGGAACAGCTGTCTAATCTTCAGGAACTGTTTTTAGAAGCTTGGGATGGAGTGAAAATTTCTGCTAGCAGAACTGTCTATGCCTTCCCACTCAGCATTTAAAAATAAATGTTTTTTCTTAATCATATATTTCCAAATTTTTGTGTTTGGATATAAGATGTATTTCTTGTAGTGTACTTGTTTTGTAATAATCTACTTTGTATAAATCCTAATTATATTATTTTTCTATGTATTTTAAATGTGTGATTGTTTAATCTTTGAAGCATTTTGGGCTTAAGATTGCTGGTACCAAACATAAATTCAGTCACTGTCGCTTTGAATCATGTTAGGAATTTGACAGAATCTAGAGTTGGACTCAGGAACCATGTGGGATTGAAGCTAAGGACAGTGATGAAGGTGTGGCAGTGGCTCCTGGAGGACTGGTGCAGGCTGGACCCAGGACTGCTTATGACCAAGTTCAGGAAGTAACAGAACTGTCCTCCTGTGAATATGGACCATGTACTGTTCCCTTTTTTTACAAAGCAAATATCCTGTGGAATAAAATCCCTACTAAACCCTCTGCTTATCATTCAAAAATATATTTGTATATATACACACACACACCAACATACATGCTTCCAATTCCATACATTTGAAATTTCTTTTTTATGGGAAATTCCAAACATATTCAAAAGAAGACAATTTAGTACAATGATCCCCACATACTCAATCCTCATCTCATGGCCAATACAGTTTCATCTTTATTTCTACTTTCCCCTCCATGACTCCCATGTTCTTTTGAAGCAAATACCAGATGTATAACTTTATCTGTTACACATTTTTTTTTTTAAATATATTTCATTGATTTTTTTTTACAGAGAGGAAGGGAGAGAGATAGAGAGTTAGAAACATCGATGAGAGAGAAACATCAATCAGCTGCCTCCTGCACATCTCCTACTGGGGATGTGCCCGCAACCCAGGTACGTGCCCTTGACCGGAATCGAACCCGGGACCCTTCAGTCCGCAGGCCGACGCTCTATCCACTGAGCCAAACCGGTTTCGGCTGTTACACATTTTTTAAGTATGTATCTGAAAACCCATGAGCGTCAACCCATAGAGGTCGCTGGTTCGATTCCCAGTTGTCACATGCCCGAGTTGTGGATTTGATCCTCACTGTGGAGTGCGCAGGGGGCAGCCAATGATGTTTCTATCTATCCTTCTCCCTTCCTCTCTAAATAAATTAAAAAAAGAAAACATTAAAAAAAGAGATAGGAGGATATAAAAAAGACCCACATCAAACTGGTAGACATGAAAATACGTTTCTGAGATGAAAAATACCCTGGGTGGGTTTAACCCGACTGCTGCGAGTTCCCATCAGCCACTGCTTATTGTGTTCATCTCCCAGGCAGCCATGGCTGGGCGATGCTCCTCTAACAGTGCTCTCGCTCCTGCCCCTGCCCCTGCCCATCAGGACAGAGCTGCCTCCCCATTAGCCTTTTTTTTTTTCCTAAAGCTGGGACATCTTGGGACAACTTCCTCTTTGGCTCATTTATTTCAAAGGCCATCTCAGAGAAGTGGGTCTTAATGATTACTTTCAACTGTGTTCTCTCACTTGGAAGGCCCCGTTGAGCAGTTTTTGTCCAGGTGGTGGAGCTGAGCATAACAAAATGGTCTCCAATAGTTACCATTAATTGTTGTGTGACAGTGTTCTAAGCTGGCTCTGGAGTGAGTTTGCCCCCAGCGGAGTCCTCTGAAGGCCTTAGTGGAATGGGGACGATAATAGCACTAACCTCACAGGATTGTTGTTGGTATTAAATGGATAACCCAGGCAAAGCACTGAGCACACCGGGCTGTGTGGAGTACATGCCCATGCATGTTGGCAGTTCCTGTAACGTCACATTCTCCAATAAGACTCTTGCTATCTCCGTTCTCAGGGCAAGAAGCACTGTGCAAAAGCCAGTAAAAACGCCGACTAAGGTGCCAGACAGCCTGGAATCGAATGTCAGTTCTTCCATCTGCCAGGCAAAAGATCTGGGGCCAGTCACTGCATTCGTCTGCTAGGGCTGCCCTAACAGAATACAGACAGGGGGGCTTAAACACCAGAAATGTGTGTTCTCACAGTTCTGAAGGCTCGAGTCCAAGAGCAAGGGACCAGCAGGGTTGATTTATGGTGAAAACTCTCTCCTCGGCTTGCAGGTGGCCACCTTCTTGCTGTGCCCTCACATGGCCTTTTCTCCCTGTTCGTGCACTGGGGGTGTCCCCTCCTTTTTCCCCCCATAAGGACATCAGTCCTATTGGATTAGGGTCCCCACCCTCATGACTTCATTTAACCTAAATGACTTTAACAAAATATATCTTTATTGACTTCAGAGAGGAAGGGAAAGAGAGATAGAAACATCAATGATGAGAGAGAATCATTGAACGGCTGCCTCCTGCACACTCCACACTGGGGATTGAACCCACAACCTGGGCATGTGCCCTGACTGGGAATCAAACCGTGACTTTCTGGTTCATAGGTCAATGCTCAACCACTGAGCTAAGCAGGCGGGGCTTAATGACTTTCTTAAATAGAGTCACATGGGGGTTAGAGTTTCAGCACATAAATTTTTTTTTGGGGGGGGGGAGGGACTCAATTTGGCCCATAAAATCACCCACCTCTTTGTGATTCAGTTTCCCCAGCTCTAAAAAGTGTTGATGATACCTACCTCAGACGGCTGTTGAGGGGATTAAATGCGTACAATGTGCTTATACCAGTGCCTGTTCATAGGGGTACTATGTGAGTTATAACAGTAATAAGTCAATAAATATTATCCTCCTGGGCATTTCCTCTACTTGGTCTGCTCTCTTTCCTCACCTCCCAATCAAGATGATGCCACATTATTGATTCAGAAATCTCTGAGGGAGGTAGGATTACCACGTGACTTACACCCTGCCCCCCAGGTCTTGGCTTTTTTTTTTTTTTAAACCAGCAGAGACTTCCTCTTCCTGCCAATCTGGAGCGCTGCAGCGGGAGGCAATCCAGGAGCTTTGAAGCTCCCTGCCAGCCCTCTCTGCACCTCCAGCACCAGCCGCTCCCCTCGGAAGCTCATCGCTTACACAGGACTACGTTTGCGCTCGGCCTGGGCTGCTTCTCCACTTAGAGTCACCGTCCAGTTCCTGACAGATGACAACCACCCGCAGAACTCAGGGATCTGAGACCAGAGGTCCCACCTGGCTTTCTGCTTTAATAGAACCAGCACTTGTGGTCAAATCATTAAAAGAAAAAAACAACCCCAAACATCTCTTATCTATAAAAATGTTCACGTTTTGGATGAATAGTTTAGTCTTGTCCCCATGGGTGGGGTTGTCATATTTATGTTTGGAAAGTTACAGGCTGATGGGAGCTCTACAGGCTGTAGGGACCACAAGAAACTAGAAGACAACCTCTCACGTGTGTGTGTGTGTGTGTGTGTGTGTGTGTGTGTGTGTGTTGGGAGGGGACAGGAGTGTGTTTCTGCAGCTGGAAATGGTCCTTGGGGGAGAGATGCAAAAAAACCCCAACACAGCAAAAACACCTAATAGTCTCAGAAACATACCCCAGTATGGAAGATGTTCATCACATATTTGTAAAATAAACATAAAACATTTAAAATATACTACAGTTTTTAGAACATTTTGTATTAGCATTTCTCATTCTTATTAATAAAATAGAAGTTCTCAAATAAGAACTGAGCTAGTCCTCTCCTGTTGCTTAGAGGCGGGTGTGGCTAGATAGAGACAGAGCCTGATAGTAGAAAGGGGCTGGGGAAGGAGAGCAGGGCCTCAGTGACCACGGCAGCTGTTTAGCGCCCCCTGGTGGGATGTGAGGAGCATAGCTTCAAAAATCAGTCTCATTTAAAAAACATCAAAATACAAGCATTGGGCTTTTTCCTAGATATAACATTAATACGTAGTCATTGTAAATTGTTGATACAGGCATTCTAAATCAGTGACATGTGAATCAGTCAGATTTTAGTAATATTTTGCTCATTACTAGGGAAAGAGAATTTTGGTTTCATAATGCAGCTTCGCAAAGTTTTCATCAAAATTAGCTTATGTAAACATGATTCAATTGATGTCTGTACATTTTCTAAACAAAGATATAAAAATGGCCAGTAAACACACGGAAAGGTGCTCGATGCCATGTGCCCTCAGGCAAACACAAAGTAAAATTACGATGAGGTATCACTTCCCATCCACCAGCATAGCTCTAACCAACGACACAGATACTCACAAGAGTGGACGAGGACGTGGAGGAATCCGGACCTTCTACACTGCTGGTGAGGAATAACTGCTGTGACAGTTCCTCCCAAGGTTAGGCCTCGAGTTACCGTATGAAGTAACAATTTCATTCCTAGGTATGCGCCCAAGAGAATTGAAGACATATTGCCACAAAAAATCTTGAAAGCAAATGTTCACAGCAGCATTACTTGTAATAGCCAAAGAGTAGAAAGAGCTCAAATGTCCATCAACTGATGAATGGATAAGTGTGGTATAGCCACACAAAGGAATATTATTCATCAATAAAAAGGAATAACGTTCTGATACAGGCCACCCCACGGTGAACCTAGAGGACATTTTGCTAACGGACAGAAGTCAGACACAAAAGACCATACATACCTTGTATGACTCCATTTATACGAAATGTCCAGAACAGGCAAGTCCATGGAGACAGAACGTAGACTCGTGGTTGCCCGGGGCTGGGTGGGATGAAGGAGGGAGTGAGAGGGAATGACTGTTAATGGGGACGGAGTTTCCTTTTGGGATGATGAAAATGTTCTTAAATTATAGTGTGGTGATGGTTACACCCCCCCGCGAATATGCTAAAAACCGCAGAACTGTGCACTTTAAAAGGTGAATTTTATGGCATGAGAATTATATCTCAATAAAGCTGCTACGGTTTCTGTTCGTAATCATATGATGAGAAGACTTCCATCGAGTTTGGAAGGTCTGTTTGACACGCAGGCTTCATAAAATCCATTTGGACTGATTCCCAGGAGGCCCCTCGAGAAATCAAAGCAGCCAAGACAGATTCCCAAGAGACTCATGTGATCGCCCATCCAGAGACATCGCAACAGCTCGACCAAATGACTCATTGGACAAGCCGTTTTGAGCACCTACGACATGCTAGCAAGTGTTCTAGAAGCTTGGCTATATCAATGAACAGATTCAAGGGTTGATTTTATTATTTATTTGCTCACTTACTTATCTTTCTTTTTTTAAATAATTCTTTATTGTAAGGGTTGATTTTAGTTAAGCTGCTTCTCACATGGGTGACTCTGGACGGATGGCTCCGGGGTGAGCGCAGCCGGCATTGAATGATGGATGGAATGAAGGATTTGTGGCTTCCCTCCTCCTATTCCGGGGAAACCAGGCAATTTAAAAAAGCGAGGGAGATAGGAAGATACGGCATTTGTGAAAGCGTTTCTGTACTTGAGAAAGTCCATAGCAGTTAGGAATGACGTTGGCTGGGAACAATAGACATCCCGACGAAGAGGCGTGGACAAAGAGAAGACTAGTTTTCTCACAAAAATGTGGAGGCGGGAGATCACTCTGTGCCTG